GACGAGAGATGAGTGAAGATGTGCGAAAGGATCTCAACAGGGGTGCTGCAAACTGGAGACGCTCCTGCTCGTGCCACTCGCATACTCTTCCTCCCTCTTAACTTGTACAGGAGCCACGCTAGATTCCGATGGAGCGCGTCCTCCGCAGGGATGTATAACTCTCGGTTGATGAGGAAGGGATTGTCGGGTGTGTGTCTTTCGAGAGCCGCGGGGTGAGCGCACGCGAGATGCCACAGACCCTATAGACACGTATCAACTATATTTCAAACCCATAGTAGCTCACAAATACCTTGAGAACTTCCAGCGTGTAAGGGTCCATCGGGTTGAAGGCCTGCAAGACCGTGATTCGCATCGCATCTGCGATTTGCGCCATCTCCCTACACACATCCGGCGAAGGAGGCCGGGCATACGCGGCGCCCAGAAATCTCAGACCGAGCAAAAAGGCACCGTGGAGATAGCGCAGAAACAACACGATCATCGCCTTTGACGGAATCTTGAAGGTGGCCCGTACTGGCGTGCCACCGTTCAGCAAAAGCCGTGCGCGTGCGACACCGAAGAATGCCAGAACGACGAATACGGCACGATGAAGTAAGTTTACGAGGAACGCAGTCATCTCCCTGAGATATGCATAGGGAGATCGGGCTGGTGCACCGGGAGGCTGAAGGGATCGAATGCAATACGCGAGGTGGCGATGTAGAAGGAAAGCGTCGTTGAGGCCATCGTTGAAGCCTTCCATGAGCACGGGATATGCGCGGTCGTCTTTCTGTGCGAAAGTCCAAAATGCCTATAGCGTTCAGCCCCATTTCGCTACAACAGCGTAGATGTAGAGACGCACCTCTAAGAATCCCCGCAAGTCATCGTCACGATTCAAAGAAATCGGTACGCGAGGTGGGAGAATGTCTTCGGAAGTTACAGGCATCGAGCCGTACACGAGATCCGCGCTCACGATGATGATAGTCGAGGATGCGTGCAGGTCGAGGATGCGTGCAGGTCGAGGATGCGTGCACGCGGCGTACATCGTGGCCATCTCGAATCTTTGCCGGCTAGGCCCGTGATGGTCATCGTTGAATTACATAGATCTGTCGAGGCGCGGCACCCGTATAACACAGGGTGCTCAATCAGTCGGTAACTACGTAGCACTCTGCAGCAGCAGCATGGCAGCAAGACTATTCCTTACACATCACGTTCGTATTCGCTGACGCCCGATTCTCTCTCGTACGGGGCGCGCACTGTTCAGTAGTTCTGCGGCTTACGTAGGGATGGGGGTGCGCAGGACTTGGGATATAGAGGTGATGGTCGACAGATGACGGTCAGCGTCCATTCACTACCCATAACTCGGCTGTATCGAGTGTTCTTTGCCGCAAAATGTTCGAGCTGACGGTGAGCAGGATGCTGGTCATTCATGAAATCGTACAACAAGGTAAAGCGAGCCCGAAATACACAGGCCGGAAGTCTTCGTGACGATTCAAAACCTGGACTACAGATCCCCTCCGTGGACTGAGTGCATAGAGCCGGGCGCATCGTTATGACCTATAGCAGATATTCAATGTACTATCAACTTGGGAGTTGGAGACAGCTCACTGGACTAGCAAGACGAAATTATTGCCAGGAGGGAGTATACGTGTAGAGTGAGAACGCAGGTGCGCCAAGACGAAGTGGCTTGTACCCGTTCGCCTACCCGATTGACTTGGGCTACCCCTACGATTCACGTCGACCACAGCTTCCTGCGGTACCCGCGCACATCCGCTGCACAAGCAAGAAGTCCCGTCGGCTCGTCCTGCAGGTCCGGATCAACATAATCCACTGCGCTAGATGGAAGACTGCGTACCAAGCACGCCTTGCTACCCTCCGACCGTCCTCGTGAAATCATACACCACAGAACGCGAGGCGAGATCGCTAACTAATCCAGAGACGTTAATCAGTGAATTGAGCGACGATACGCTGGCAAAAGCAAAAGTACAGAAGCAGAGCGACAGGGATGGAGGTTCCGGGCAAGAAGCGAAGCCAACGGTGTTCGCACGTGCGGCTTGCCTCGTGCCATCATGTTTACGACCTTGGCGGCCGGGTTGAACTGCGTCTATTATGTGCAAACCCAACCGACCCAGCAGGCGCTGTCTGACACCTTACGCTGAATAACTGCTATCGTCATAAGAGCTAGTTCCAAGCTTTGTCATACAACTGTTGACTCATATACACGCCTCGTTGGTCGCTCTCCAGGTACCCCATCCGCACGGCCGTCGTCGCATCCAGGCTGACAACTTATTCTACAGGACTACCGCGAAATAATGGGACAGCACTTCACTACGTTCGACGTTCTTCTCTTCCCTGCGGACGGTCGCCTGCCCCAAGTCGTTCAGCTTACAACCAGTCCCGTGTCCGACAAGGGCCATGATGTCGGTGCATTCGGGAATCGAGTAGTGCACCCTGAAATCCACATGGAGTATATCTCGGAGTCCGTCGGTCAACGAGCTTGGGGATGGCAGGTAAGTCCGTACAATATCTTGTGTCCAAGTAATGTTGGCTGAGACTGTGTAAGCCGATAGAGGCCTTGTACGGCATGAGCAAGAAGTTTGCTGAGCCGTATATTATATTCTATCCGCTGCTATCCCGTGATGGATATGCTTTTCCTATCAACAAGGCGGTTCGCGAGATACAACGTCATTCGTACGCACGAGAGTATGCCTGGAAGGGCAGCCTCGTCATCGCGAAGTGCCGTGACACGGATTATACGCAATTTGTGCACGCTTCGATAGCCGACTTTCCTCTAATCAGGAACTGGCTGATGTTCCATGATCCGCCTCTCTATCATGATCCAGACTGTGTTCACTGCGGGGAAATATGCCCCCCTTCACCCCCTTCCGACTCTACGTTTCGAGCCATACGACTCTAGCTTCTTGTCTTGCTTTCGCACTTAGCTTCTGTGCTCTCATGTTGTTTTCGCACCTATCGCACCTCCCCTCGCTCTGACACCCTGTCCTACGCACTTACATGACATGCAATATAGCAGCAGTCCATCACCACGCTTATTGTGCATCCAACCCAGTTCAACCCCGGCATACGTCGGAAGAACCAACCGAGTGGCATCGGGAATGAAAGGGGCCCGGGGAGTATGTGCACAGCGAGTCCATACTGATCGTCCGGGCAAAGTCGTCAGTCAACGACATCCGCATACTGAGACCCTAATGCTCGTTGCCTCTTCCAGGTCGAGATGAAAGTTATCAGAAAGCCGCGCGACGCGCCACAAGTCGCGCATCTTGCCTCCCGCTCTCACGTCGGGCATCCTTGCCTGCCACGCGCAAAACAGCTTCGCGGATATTTATTATGCTCTATCATACAAACATGTTAGAGCTCAGGAGAGAAGAATGCCCGTGATTCGAGGAGCGCAGGTGGGTGCGACCGTTAGTAATGGAGGTCGGAACTCGCGCTCTTGACACCCGTCGCTCGCCGAACAGGGTCCGAGTATGTGCGGCGACAGTTCCTATGCATTGTAGTGAATAATGATGCGGAGAAGAACTGGGTAAAGAGAAAGAACCTGTACGTGTAGTCGACTTTTCCCCGTTGCTTCCATCCCTTTCTCGTCATCGAGTCTGAACCACAGCTTTCCGTTCTTCGTTGCTCACACTATGATTCTGATAATCTCTTCAGCCCAATCTCTAAGCCGCAGGCATGAAGGGCGAGGACCGGAATATATCGAGGGCGAACTCGAGGGACGCGGTATCAAGTAGCGGCCGCGCGACCAGACACCTCAACTGAAGGTTGTTCGTCCTCTCTTGCTCTCTACCTAGCGATTCTGCCGGTTTGCCGATGTACTAGACCACATGCGATGTAGAGCTCTGTGCCACATAAACCTCGTAAACGGCCTGGACAAATGCCAATCCCATCGACGCCAGGATGTCAAGGCTGGAGAAGTTACTTGTTTCGTTGATGTTGTGGCCCACACCGCAGTACTTTCACGATGGTGGGCGTCCTTCAATCTCTCTGGTCAATTGAGAGTGCCGCACGTATCCTTATCCTACTCCATCGCCGCGATGGGCAAATCTTCTGATCTTTAGCTACCATATCATAGGCCAATCGTGCCCCCTCTCGGCAACGTTGGAGTAAGTCCGGATCAATGATCTATGCATCAATATCGATGTATCAAAGGTATGCTTACAGACTTTATAAGGCGATCAAGAACGAAACTGAGAACGAAAGAGACATAGAGACTCGCGAACGACTCAAGTAATACAGGACGGAGGCTAGGCCGTACAGCAAGAGCATGACGGCAAAGCAGAAGTATATCCCGAGTTGTGCCTTGGTCAAGCGCAAGGACACAGGAAGTGTGCGATCGTTGGTGTGCTGAACTTCTTCCGGCGGAGGCATTGTACCGATACGTGACGATCCTACGGGACCACCACTCGAGCGCGCTTCTCCAGTGGACATCCGCTCCATGTCGCGGGTTGAATGAAACGATCCAGCGGCTTGTGGCATGCGGTCGACTACGTCATGATCGGCCTGATGACTAGACGAGTCCTGAATGACCGCTGCGTCAGTGATAGCTAACTCCGTCTACGAGGATGAAGACGCGTACATTCTGTGAATCGACTGCGGCGAACCCTCCTGGAATCGATGTTTGCTCGCGGACGTTCTGAATGACATCGGAAATAGAATCCTGACGGTAGATGAAGCTCGAGGAGGGTGACGGAGGACGAGATACCGCACCTGAACTGGACCAGCAGTAATCGAGTGCGTTTCTTCCTCAGTGGATCCCTGCTCCGTGTCGCGAGTCGACTGAAGCAGTCCAGCGGCTTCCGGTGTGCGGTCGACGACGATGTGATCGACCTGACGACTGGACGAACCCTGAATGACCGCTGCGTAAGTGACAGCCAACTCCATCTACAAGGACGAAGATGCGAACATCCTGTGAGTTGACTGCGCCGAACACGCTTGGGATCGACGTTTGCTCGCAGATGCTCTGAGGGTCGATGGACATGATGGCATCCTGATGGTGATGAAGCTCGGGGAGGGTAGATGACGATCCTACGAAACCATCACCCGAGTCCGCTGCTCTAGTGGATCCCTGTTCCGTGTCGCGAGTCGACTGAAGCGGTCCAGCGGCTTCCGGTGTGCGGTCGACGACGATGTGATCAACCTGACGACTGGACGAACCCTGAATGACCGCTGCGTAAGTGACAGCCAACTCCATCTACAAGGACGAAGATGCGAACATCCTGTGAGTCGACTACGCCGAACACGCTTGGGATCGACGTTTGCTCGCAGATGTTCTGAGGGCCAACAGATACAGTGATATCCTGGCGACTATGAAGCATGAGAAGAGCGGCAAGTGAGCTACCGCACCTGATTCCGATCCTCAGTGGATTCGCTTGGCTCGTTCGATATGCGGCAATCCCAGCATCCCGCCTAAACCCTGCGATTCAAGAAAGTACCAAAGGAGTGGATGAGATGACGCACGGGCGACACAAACTTCGACGGCGGCCCATCCACAGTCTCTATCAGTTCCGACGCGTTCCTCTTGAGTGGTATGAGTGACATCCTGTGTAAGATGCAGAGCTGAGGCTTGGACTCTTCTATTTATTGGTGTTCAACTCGGCTTTAGCGCAGTATGCGCTTTGTGGATCGAGCACTGAATGTACAAAGGGGACCTAGAGTTCTTTCCACTATCGCCCGGGCGATAGTGGACTCGCAATCGACGTCCATGTGAAGGGTATGCGTACCATTGCTACTCGCATCGTCTTTGAAATACCAAATTCAGGGTGGATACAGCGTGGATCATTGCTTACAACGTATTGAACCCCGATCATTGCCAGCAGTGCCAAGTTCTTGTTATATGCACCCTTCTTTCCGAAAAAGCATTTCGATCACGGGCGACGCGCCAGTAGAGTGCGATAAGACGTACGCGACATCCGACTCGATGTAGAGGATTACCCGATTGGGAAGGTTTGCGGCGTGCGACTGAGCCTGCGACCATCCCATCCTTTAGCTCCTTTGTTGTCATTTTACCATTGGCACCTCCTTGAA